GGGACCCCCCCCCCCCCCAGCCCCCTCGTGATCGTGCGGTGCCTCTCACCACGAGGGGTCTCCGCCGGGTCGAAGCCGACAGCGTCCATCTTGACAGCCGCCTCCAGGAGGTAGTGGAGGCACTCGCTCTGGGTCTTCGCCTTCTCCCAGGTGGGGCCCCACACGTAGCACCCGTGTCGTTGCACCAGCACCGCGTTCGACTTGGGATAGCTGCAGCAGGAAGAAGCAAGCAGAGCACGCGCACGGGTGGGCAGGCAGGCAGGCAGGCAGGCAGGCAGTTGTCGAGCAAAAAAACAAGGCTTTTGTACTGGTGTAACGAAACAGGTTTCGCCCAAGAGGTTTCCCTTCATTACGGGGTTTCAACTCTCTTCCGGTTTCGTACGACCATATTGTGTATCCGGTGTTCTTGTCGAGCGTACGCTTGTGCTTGTGCTTGTGGTGCTTGTTTGCCTCGACAAAGCGGTGCGGCCAAGACAAACAGCAGCGGAAGCCACGATAGCAGCGCCAGCAAAGGCAAACAGGAGCAACATCAACACCAACGCCAACAACAACCGCAGCACCAGCACCAGCACCAGCACCAGGAGCAACGGCAGACAACAACAACAACAACAACAACAACAACAACAACAACAACAGCAACAGCCGAGCAGTTCGATCTATCAATAACTTCCGCACTTGGTGATGGCCTCAGCCAGCGAGTCCGCGAGATCCGCCTCGTCGGCGGTGTTGTCGATCACTGGGATCTCCAGCTCGTCGTGGAACCCATGACTGCGGCGGCGATCCATCCGATCACGGTCGGCCATAAAAAAAAAGTATCGATAAAACGACGACATGAAGGGAGGGACAAAGAAATGAGGACCAACCAATCACGGTCGGCAAAACAAGAGGTACTGTATCGGGACAACGACGACGTGTGACAAAGCAACGAGGACAAACGAATCACAGTCGGACAAAACAAAAAGAAGGTACTTAGACAACGACTACGACGTCAAGGGAGGGACAAAGAAACGAGAACATCAGAAGGTCACAAGTGACGGCAACAACAGGGTAAGAGTGGATGCTGGGTGGGTGAATGCCCCCGGCCGGCGTACGCTTGCGCAAATTCCGCGCAAAAAAATCTCAGTCGTTGCCGGCGTTGTCGCTGCTGCTGCTGCTGCTGCTGCTGCTGTGTACACATGGGTACATGTTCTGGTTTCGTCAGAAAATCAAGTGCCAAAGCATTCCGCCTCCTCCAGGAGGCGTCGATTCATTTGTTCCTCGTGTGTCTCCTCTGGCGATTGCGTGAGCGAGTGTGTCAACCCTCGTCCAATTCGTTTAGCTTGCTCAGTTGGAAACACATCCCGCCACGTGAAACCGTCGCCGTCGCCGCTGCTTCTGCTGCTAAATTTCTCGGTGTTAAAGTTTCCCTCCAAAAGTGGGCCCACCACGTTTGTGAGGATCCGACACGGCTGTTGCGATGTTAATACAGTACCGCTGGACCGCTCTATTCTCGAATACATCTTCCCACTTACTGCCCGAGGCAAGAGAGACACAACCTCCTATTGTCCTGCCCCGCTAGCAAGAGCCCACATCGCCACCGCCTCAGCGACCAAAGTAAGTCCCCACCAACGACGCGCTCTGCTCTGCTCGCCTCGCCAAAGTTGGGTAGGTAGGTGGTCGGTGTATCCTTCAAGATACAGACGGCATCTCAAGGCTTAAGCCAACACCACGACACTGCTGGAACTTGGTTAGAGGAGCCCGTCAACAACCGCGCTGCTGCTGCTTCGGCGGCGGCGGCTCGCCTCGCCTCGCCAAGATCGAATAGCAAAAACACTGCTTAGTGGCCGCTAGGCGGCGGGCCGTGCAACACCTGGGACCCCGCACGGTCGGTAAACACCACCACCCCCACCCCCACCAGCGAGTAGCATGCCGCCGTTTCCAAACACCTGATCCGCCCGGTAGCCTTGGCGAGGGTGACATAAATACTGGTTTTAGTATGGGTTGTTACGGGTTACGGTTAAGGTTAAGGACACAAAGCCCCCCTCGCTATGGCATAGAATCACACCAAACGCTTCGCGAAGTCCGTCGGTCCGATCTGCCAGCAGCGCCAAAAAAAAAAAAAAAATGACGAGACGCACGGAGGTCCCATGGTTCAACGCCAAGCCGGAAACACGACGGGCAACGCGGGATCCCTTTAGACAGATTTTCAGGGGGGTATAACAGGGTGCGCCCTGACCACACCTTGTACCACTGGAACCTTTTGAAGAGATGCGAGGTCTCTTGGGTCTCCGACTTTGCGTTGAACCAACGGTCCTCAGTACGTCTCAGCGTTTTTTCTTTTGTTTTGGCACTGGGGGCATCAGGTGTTTGTAAACGTCGGCCTGCAACTCGATGGTGGTGTTGGTGGTTGGTGGACACCGACCGGGCGGAGCCCCAGATCTTGCGCGGCCCGCTGCCTGGCGGCCACTTTCTAGTGCTTTTGCTCTTCGAGCTTGGCGAGGCGAGGCGAGGCGAGCAGCTGCAGAAGCAGCAGCAGCGCGGTTGTTGACCGGATCGTCTCACCAAATTCCAGCAGTGTCGTGGTCGTCGAGCCTTAGGCCTGAGGTACCACCTGGAAGGGTATATCGTGCAGAATTTACCGGCTACCTGCTGCCAGGACTCTTGGTACACTACCTCCGCCTTCGTACAATTTGTTGCTTGGAGGTGTTTGAATGTTTTCCTTGCTGTTTAGTGTTGTGTGGGGCTGAGCGATAGCGAGCGACTGAGAGAGAAAAGAAGGAAAAGGAAAGACCAATTGGACTGAAAACGGAGTCGCTATTTGTAGCCCACAACACAGCATTGGTCTGCCACCACAAGTATGTATCTGTATGACGAAGAGACGGGAGAGACAAAAATACGAGTATTAGAGAGGATTCATTCGTCCTCTTCGTCGATGCCAACGTCAAAAGAGGGAAGAACCCTCAACACAGGGTGACGGACGCGGGGGGCTACCGTCCCCCCGGTCCTCCGTTTGAGAGCGAATATGCAAACATACGAAACGGAAAATGTGACGCAGCAGGCCACTGGCTTCATCCCTCCAAGTTTAGCATGCATAAACCGGGTCTTGGTACTTGGTACCTACCCTGTTGCTCCTCGGTGCTGCTGAGGGTTCGTCTGCTTTACTCCCAACCCACTAACAGTGGCTCTGCAGGTGGCTTCGCAACCTTCTGACGTGTGGAACCTGGGTCTTTTTTGTTTTAAGCGAGTGCAATACACCGAGCCATGACGTGCGTAGAATGCGTCACTTCGGTCTAAGAATTGACTACCCCAAGTGCATCAAAGCATCCACTTCAAAATCCAAGAACAAGGAAAGCTTCTTCTCACCCTTCCATGCCCTTGATCATCTCTTGGTGGGTGATGCGGAAGGTCTTGACGCCCTTGCGTTCGCACAGCATGGCGCCCAAGACGCAGAAGATGCCGTGGCTGTGGATCACGGCCCCGGCGTTCCGCAGGCGGTAGGCGTGCTGGAAGAGAGACAGGCACGCGGATATCTTCACTCTGCGATAGGTAGGTCGTGTCCGGGGGGGGGGGGGGGGGGGGAGGG